AGCTTGGAGACAAGTGAAATTCCTGCTTGAATAGGTTGCTGACCATGCTTTGGTTGCTGGAACGAAACCAGGAAACATATACATGTACACACACGTACACATACACTAAACTATATAAAGAGAAAATGGACTGGCTTTCACCAGTTATGGAAATCTACACAATACCCTGGACAGTCTAGTAAGTGCCTGGTTGCATCTGAAGTTGGATATACATATGAGTGAGCTGAGTGAGATACAAGTAGTGTATGGAATGATACTTGCAAAAATTAACTGAAGGTGAAATACAGGAATTATGTGGTAAGGACATTGAAGAAAATATTCCAATTGAGGCCAATTACTGTAGGTTTATGTATGGTCCACTGCAATCTTTGGTAAATTTTGTAGCTCCACAAGTGCTTAGCCACCAAGGAGACAGTGACTTGGCTCGAGGGATTGTGCCTAATTTCCCCATTCCTTAAATTTGTGGGATTTTTTTTATTGAGATGTTATTAATATTGACACTGTTATTATTGGTATTTGCATAATGATTGGTGTAATCTTATTAAAATGCTAATAGTAGTAAAAAAAGTAAAATAATATACAGTGATATTCCAGAAAATCAATGAAAATTTAAACAGATGAGATGGGTAGGAGTAGTAACTTACTCATTGGTGACTGAACACTCATGGAGCCATATCTGTGTAAACACAATTAGTAAACTAAATTACAGTGGAGATGGTATATACTTATGCCATCTACATCCATTGAGTTAAACCATACACTTGGGCAGTAATAAAGTGTGTGACATAAAGAGAATATCTGATATTATGAAAATTTATGAACATACAGTACAAAGAGAGAATGTGAAATAAGCCTGTATGACTTATTGCCAAGATCTGACACTAATGTATTAGTAAGATAATTATATGGATAAATGGATGTTTGTACTGTAATGTTTTGAAAGGACGTGTACCACTGGGAAAAGGGTGCTGCAGTAACCCCATGAACTGTTTCCTGGGGCATAAGGGATCCTTATCATCTTCATCATCTTTGTTGTTGCCATGGTCGTTGTCATTGACATCGTCATTGTTATCGTCATCGTCATCATCATTGTCATTGATTTTCAGTTGCATAGCAGTTTGTAATCCTAGCTTTTTGACTATTATGTATTAGTGAATTGTGCTCTCTTATATTTTTTCCTCAGCTCCTCAGGGCAGTTCGGAAGGAGATTATTTCATCAGGCCCTAGTATTTCTTGTTTCTAGGGCCTTTAATACATTTTCTCTGTCTGTGTCATCGTCATTGTCATTGTCAGTGTCAGTGCCAGTGTCAATGTTAGTGTCAATGTTAATGTCATTGTCAATGTCATTGTCATCATCATGTTATCATCAATCATACCATCATTGTCATTGATTTTCAGTTACATAGCAGTTTGTTATCCTAGCTTTTGGACAATTATGTATTAGTGAATTGTGTTCATTTATATTTTTTCCCCCTGTCATATCTAAGATTTTAACACTTAAGTTTATGGAAAATATACAATTTTTGCACCTCAAGTAATAGCAGTAATCGCTTCACACTATTGTGAAAAGGAGTTTATTTGCTGGTATCTGGCTATATATTTCTAATGTCCAGTAAATGAATACACATGAATGTGTATATTTTTACTCTATAGAAATAAAACATTAGCATTTGATAGCACAACAATATACAGTGTGGTCGTTCCAAAATACACCATCTATAATTTGTTACTATTTTCCAAAGATGATATGGTGGAAGTACTTTAAATGGGTTGCTAACATTGCTCAAGGCTCGTTCAGTGAGAGAAATTAAAGAAATAATTATTTCACTAGCCTAGTTTTATCTGATTATTGAATATATCTATCTATATACTGCTCTTTTACTTCTAATTATTTCCCTCTCATTTATTTTGTAAATGGTGCCTTACAGCCATGATGTTTATTTTGCCCGTATTGTATGATTTAATGTTTGTCAAGACTTTTGCATGTTTCGAATGGGGAGATATTTAACGGGTTGATCATTGTCTAGAACTTACACTTCAGCAGCTCATGGAGTGGTGTTAGTGTAAATATCTCCTCCTAAATATCTCTCCTTCATTGATGTAGTTTCCTTCCGTTCTTTGAGGTGGAATTGTTTTATTTAGTGCCATGATATTCATGTAACTATTTCATGAACATATTCAATAAATGTTCATTCATTACATTTGTTAGAATTATATTTTCATCATTTACCTGATTTTTAGATACTCTTAAAATTAATTTGAAGTATAGAATGAGTCATTGTACTTTTGCCATGAATTTTATTGAATCATGTTTATAAATGTTGAATTTTATCTATTTGTAGATTTACATGTTTTATACCTTTTTATATGGATATATTTTTGTTAACAGAGTTACAGATTGTGTGTGTTTATATGAATGAGCTGAAGTGATATAAATCTTGTGATTTGATATTATGCACTCATAAATAGTTTGTATTTTTATTTATAATAAATCATAAAA